TTGAGAAGAAGTAGACCGAGAAACAACAAAATAATAAGTCATTCAATTTTCTTTAGTAGTTTTGTATTCATTATAAGTAGACCTTATGTTCAAAATGGAAAGGAATGTTATTTCATAGTTACCTTGTAAAACTGCACAATCAGGTGCATTTTTGCATGATACATAAATACATCTTTAGTACATTTTATAAGACTATTGACTAGTTCCAGTGCGTTGGTGGCACAGCGGTAGAATTCTCGCCGACCACGTATATGATCCGGGGTTCGATCCTCGGCCACAGACGCACTCCTTTACCTCGCTAAGCCAGAAATAAAAATCTGGTAAAGAGGAAAGGTTGGGCATGAGGCTAGCAACCACATCCCGTAAAACTAAACACCACTGCTACAGAAACTTCACTCCTGTAGCTTGAAGCCACCCTATGTTTCACTGGGAACGAAAAGGAATAAAATAAATTGACTAATTTCTCTGCAGCTGAGCATCATGGGTACTGATCGCATTGAAATGATATGGTTAGTAGTTTCATATTGCAAATGATAAAGCTCCGGACTAGATATATGTAGGCGGCTGGTTGGAATCCTGTAGCTATCCGGATTTCAATTCCATATTCAATCACCATCATTAACAGTGCGTTAGATCAAAACTAATGATAATATCTTTATTCTGGACAGTATTTATAAATTGTACAGAATTTTCAAAAGAGTTTATTGCATGATATTTTCCCTTCGTACAATATCTTCAAGTAAAATATTAATTAATTGACGGTATATCCTGTGACACAATGCTCTCTGAGCTGAAGTACAAACCGTTCCATTATGATATCTGTGCTTTGCCCATTTCAAAAAATCCACGATATCTAGTTGAAAGCCAATTTTAAGATGTTGAGAAGTATATGTCTAGACCCAAGGAAATAACTGAAGAACAGTTATCTCAAGTATTGGAACATGTCGCTACCCACAATCCTGCCATTCCTCAAGTTTAGTAGGAAGTGTTATATTCTTTTATGGGATGTCTGGCAAGTTTCAGCTTCCGTTTGGGAAAGATTAGGTTATGGTTTAGGTCAAGAACAAATTAGGGTTAGGTTAACCTAATAAAGGAGACATTAGGGTTGGTTCGAGTTAGATTACAGTTAGTTTGGGGATATTTTCACGTTGGGATTAGGTTCAGGAAAGATTAAGGCTTTCATTAGGGTCTTTGTATTGTTTCCTTTAATTCCTAGGGGAACATAACGCTTCAGCCGCATGTCTCGGTTGCGTTCGGTTCTCTGCCAACGTTTCCACCTGGCTCCACGTCTGCTCACATGCTCTTACCTCCTCCATGTCACGCTCGCATCGACGACCACCTCGCCGCATCCCATTTGGGTTCCACTAGAGCAATGACCTGTCTTGTGATGTCACTTTATGGCTTGTTTTCACAGAGTATGGTCAATCCATCTACATTTCTTCCTGCATATTTGTTATACACTTCGTTCCTGGGGGGTTGGTTAGCTCATTGTCAGATATCCCTCTTGCTGATCTTCTCTGTCTTGCCATCTGGTCTTGGGTGGTATTGATTGAAGACAGCTGTTGATGAAATTATATAGTTTGTTCAAAGTGACCTTTGTGACACGGCGCCAAGTCTCTGATCTGTATAGTAAGTGGCACTGACTTCCGATTGGAGTTGAGAATTCGTATCTTGCTAAGGAGTGCTGTTGATCTCCATACAGACCTGAGAGAAATGAAAGCTTGCCATGCTTTGATATCCTTATGAGTTACCTCCGCCTGTATTTGAAATGATACTTCCCAGTTACGTTACAACACTATCTTGTAAAACCTCAGAAAACATATGGAAGCTTTTTAGAGAAATTACTGGTTGTGGTAAGCATAATAATTTTGCCTCTTCTATTGATGTAAATACTCTCAATAGATCTTTCATCCGCCCTCCAAATGTCCCTTCTGCCTTCAATTTAACTAATAACACGACCAGTGACTTTCATAGTTTCAATACTTCTGATGTTCTTAAATGTTTGAAATCTCTTAAACCTTCCCAGAGTCTAGGCCCTGATGGTATACCTGCCATTGTTTTAAAGAAATGTGCTGATATTTTAAGTAACCCACTTACAAGCATTTTCAATACTTCTTTTTCTAATAATGTGTACCTTCTCTGTGGAAAGATATTAAAATCATCCCTGTACCCAAGTCTGGTTCTGGAGATAGTGTTAAGTTTAGACCAATTGCCATTACCTCTCCTTTTTGAAACTGATGGAGAAATTACTGTTACAAAAACTCATTCCCTCCCTAAGCTTCTCAAACGATCCAAAGCAGTTTGCTTACAAACAGGGTAGAAGTACTTTGGATGCTGCTGCTGTGTTTCATCACAACATTGTATCCTCCTTAGACAAAGGGGCCAAGTATGTCCGTTGTACTTTCCTTGATTACACATCTGCTTTTGACTCTGTACCTAGAGGCCTTTTGTTAAACAAGCTTAGCCTTACACAAACTGAGTCCTGGGCTATCAACTGGCTGCACTCTTACTTCTCCAATAGGATGCAGTACACGGTATATAATGGTGTAGCTTCCTCTCCTTTGCTTACTGAAGCTGGTGTTCCTCAGGGTGCTGTTCTCTCGCCGTTTCTCTTTTCCTTCTTCTTACATGACTTACCTCTCTCAGACGAAATCAACTTCGTCAAATATGCAGATGACCTGACTGTTTCGCTTCCCGTTAAGTCTCAGTCAGACTGCTTCAAATTAAATAGCTTCCTGTCGGACATCAGTCAGTGGTCAAAACTAAATGGCCTCACGCTGAATCCCTCAAAATGCCAGACTGTCGACTTCTCCTTTAGGCATAAACGAGATCTACAAACACTAGTAAGCACTCATGATGCTGTAGAATTGAGGGGACTATAATTGAAACAAAGTCTAATGCAAAATACCTCGGATTAGTTATATCTTCCGACCTTACTGGTCATCTCATATCCAAATGATTTCCAAGAAAGTGTTTCGTCTAACCTACTACATTAAGAAACTCAGACTAGCTGAGTCCCTCAACCTCTGCTTTCATAATTTGTCAACTCTCTGTTGCTAACCTGACCTAAGTTAAAACATTTTAGTCAATTGTATTACGTCATCTAACTTACTAACTCAATCTTACTTTAGTTGCTGTCCAATTAACCTTGTTTCTATATTAGATCATTCTTTTATTACCTGATCAATTATCTAATTTTGACAAACCTCATGTACACACACACACACTCAAATAATTATATATATAAATGCGATTGTACAGCTATGTGAATGAATTCGCCAAAAAGAGTCTCTTCGCTGAACGTCTTCCCTTTTTCATATGACTAAATGGGGATTTTCAAGAAACTCTCGTATCCTACCTATTCTACTTTACTGCTCCCCGTTAGTCTTTCCTGGGTTACTGAAAAAGGACTATACCATCCTGAGAAGGATGTCGAAGGTAGTTAGTAGGACTAGCGGTGTAAAACTCAGTCAGCTCGTCACTACATTAGTGGATAAGCATCTGAATACATGCGAGAAATGGTCTAAAACCATACTCTCTGACCCCCAAGACCCCCTCTATTCCCAACTCTCTCCTTGCATCTCATCTGGTAGAAGCAGAAATCAGTACAAAATAACATATGCTCGTACAACCAAGTATAGGAACTCAACGATACCATATTTGGCCCGTGTTCTAAGTGACAGAGACAATGTTAGGCGTGAAACTTACGACTTGCTTTGTTGTTAATAACATAATTGTGGCCCTTGTTATTTCCCCCTTATACTCTCTTATTTGTACTCTATAGTGAACAACCTTCTTAAAAATACTTAGCTGCTTAAAATTAATTATCGTTGGCTTACTTTTTTGTACTTTACTCTATTCCTTCTTTTGTATATCTACTGGGTCCGACTATATTATCACTATGATTATTAAAAAAATTGTCCTGTCATTAACCATCATGTAATATTAGTTTTGTGGTTGTTCTTTGTTCGGCACTATTTAACTGGCAATCTTGTTTGTGGACGCCACTATCACCATCTTAAAAAATTTTGTATTATGCATCACTACTAACACTAAAACGACTAACACTGCATTAGTGGTGACAATAAAAAAGAACCTGAAATGTTTATTTTATGATTGTTTAGTGTTGTTCAATCAAATTAAGTGATCATCTTAGCTATTAACATTCTTAAGAACATCTCATAATTTCTTCTACGATCATAGCTGTTACTGTTCACCACGCATACACATATCATAGCTTCCACTACTCAGTACTGAAAATTTTTTTTCATTATTAGTGTTTATCTTCCTTTCTACTTGGTACTTTTTACTTGCATTTTTTTTCTTTTCTTTTGTTTTTCTTTGTTATTTCTGTGTTTCGTTTTTTGGTTTATTTTTGTCGTGTTTTTTTTATATTTATTTTTTTTGTAATACTCCTTTTTAATGTACGATGAAATTAGATGCAATATTGTAGATATGTGCTGAAAATTCCACACTGTACCACAAGTACTGTTTCTGGAATAAAGCGAATTGTTATGTTATGTTAGGAAGGTGGGTAGGTAGGTAGGTAATGGAGGTTGCCTCTTTCAGATTCCTCTAATTTATGCTGATTCTAGTAAGTAAGATTACTTAAATTCTTATAACGCAAAACTTTTGAATAATTTAATTACCTTTAAAACATTTGAATCAGAAAGCAGTGTTCTTCATACATACTGTCACCTTAAGAATTATATAAAAGTTGCATTGATCAAATATCTTCTATGCGCTAATATCACATGATAAATTACCTGTTATATGAGTACATATGCCAATATGAACTGAAAACAAATTCTTTAACTGCATAATAAATACTCATTTATTCAACTTCGATTTATATTATTAGTGTAATCTATCATTTTATTAGACATACCAATGTAATTCATAATTGTTTGTTGGCAAACAGAATCTTTCAATATCACCTATATATATATAAATACATAACCTGTAGACATTTTCATACATTTTTAGTTGAGCAGAACACAATGGAGGAAGCTATTAAAGAATATGATGAACTGGTTGCTAAAGGACAATTTCAAAAAGCCTACGATCTTGCTACAAACACTCTGGAAGTTCATAATCAAGTAGAAATGCTGTGGAGGAAAGCTCAAGTCTGTTTTCTATTTGGTAAAATCCCCTTCCCCTCCCCGTCCCAAAAATATCATCATTTTTACATCAATTTCAAATAGTTTATTATGTGGATACTAAACCAAGCAAAGAAGTGTGTGAGAAGTATTTAACAGAAGGCATGAATTCTGCTAAACGAGCTGTTGCTGTAGACAAAAAACATGCGAATTCTTTAACTGTATTTCTCTCTTTCTCTATTTGAAAGTTATTCATCCTCTTTCTTCTTCTTTTTTAAGTGGTATGGAATTCTGTTGGATGAAGTTAGCAATCTTAAAGGGATACAGGAGAGAATGAAGAATGTCGGTGAATTATATGTTTTGTGGACGGTAAGCTGACATACTTCAACCAGCAGTCATTCATTGATGTCTGATTTACCAGAAATCTCAACAAATTGATCCAAATAACTTTCTGACTGAGAGCAGTCTTGGAATCTGGTAAATAATTCAATTGATTATTGTGTTTGTTATTCGACTTTGCTAATCCTTTAAGGCATTTTATTATGACGGAATTTTATAATTCCAAACCAGAGTTTTTTCGAAATACCAACTTCACTGGGAATGAATTCTCTTATCAAAAGGTATACATGATTAAATTATCTTTTTGAAACCAACTGTGTTAACTTGTCATAGGCCCTGGAACATATGCTCAAGTGTGAAAGCTGTGAGTTATATATATATATATAATAATAATATATTCTCATTTTGTACATGAGGGACGCCAGTTTACAGGCATCATCAATATGATAAATTACATATAAGATTAGCAATCATACTTAATAAGAATGTTTCAATAAAATACATATTTTTTCCTACCTATGTAGGACACACCAAATGTACAGGCATGGATAAGCATTATTTAAATTTCATAAATTGGATTTATGGTTAAATTACATGGTTGCTGACGTTTTTGTCTTTGGTTTGTGGGAACATTGGGATAAATAGTCATTCAATGGAGCACACCAAGAAATATGGAAATACTGTCTTCGCATTAACATAAACAACCCAAGTATCTTTTAGATGGATTAAAAATACTTGGGAAAAAAATAAAGCTTGAAGTCATTCTCCCATATAACTTAGGTGTGTACGGCATCGAATCTTATTTTTGATTTATATCCAAAATGGGTAGTAAGAAAGCTATTTTTACAGATACGATCAGTTATGTTATGAGTTACACTCGTGACGTTGTATTACAAATTAATACTTTTCCATTGGTATAAGAGTATATTCCACAAATGTAATCCAGGTTGCGTCGTGGAGAAAGTTAATTCGTTATTAACCAGGCAACTGAAAGATACGGGACCAATAATGTTTGCAGATCATTTGTCATTGTAAATGGTCAAACATCCACATTATTCATTCTCATTCAAAAAGTCAAATGGAAGCTAAAATGGTGATAGAAAAAATTACACAAACAACAGCAAAGCAAAAGAAAGCAAGAGGAGTCCTTAAGGAGTGATTAATAAATATATACATATGTATTCTGTTTATATATATATATATATATGCTAGTTTATATATGTCATTTTCCAAGTATTGGTGTTTGTAGAGATTTTGTTTGATTGGTTAGAGGATTTCATCGTGAGCTGACAAAAAAAACTTGGAAGATCTGGACTTCGCCGATGATGATATATGTCTGATTTCCCACAAACTGGAAGATATGCAAGTGAAAAGCAACAAGTTGGCAGAACAACCATCCAGAGGGGATAAGCCTTCAGGTGAACATAGATAAAACAGAGGTGATGAAGATTCCTGGCCAACATCAACAGCAACAACAACAACAGACAACAATCAGCCAGCATAAATGGAAGGAACCTGAAAGAAACAACCTCCCTTACTAACCTACCTGGGAAGCATCGTTTCAACTACAGGTGGACGGAATTGACGAGGATATCAAAGCAGCGAGGATCGGGAAAGCAAGACAAGCTTTCATTACTCTTAAGTCTGTGTGGAGGTCAACAGCCACTACTCAGCATCAAAAATAAGATACGGATTTTCAACTCCAATGTGAAGTCAGTGCCACTTACTACACGGATCAGAGACTTGGCCATCGCGTCATAAAGAGCATCTCGAACAAATTACAGACCTTCATTAACAGCTGTCTTCGCTCAATACTAATCAAGATCAGATGGCCAGAAAAGATCAACAACAGGGATCTCTGGCAATGAGCGAATCAACCCATCAGGAACCGACTGTGAAACAAATATGCAGGAAGAAATGGAGGTGGATTGGCCATACTCTGTGAAAACAAGCCATCAAGTGACATCACTAGACAAGCCATTGCTCGAGCTGGCATCAGTTAGAGCACCTTTGGAAAATCTGCCAGGGAGTCTTTGACGGCTGTTTCGTCCGCCTAGTTTGGGACTCTTCAGACGAACCTATGACCTTCTGGTTACGAGGTCAGAGAGCTCGTAGACTATTAAGCAGCCACTGGGACCTGATCTTTTTACTTTTAATGAATACGCATATTGACATACTGGCTTTTTGTATTATTTTTTTTCGTATTGTACCTTTCTGTGTTCAAGTGGCACCCGGTAGATCACTGATAACATTGGAATATTTGGCCAAGTGTTATGCACGTCTCGGTGACAAGGATAAGGCTAGAGAAGTCTGTCAGAAAGTACTCAATCATCCTGCTAGACATGTAGAAGCACAAGAGGTGAGCAATAGTAGAAATTATAAGATTATGAAATATCATCGTCTTTTTCTTCTTTCAATGTATTCAGTATCCCCATTTATCTCTGCTTTCTTTATTCTTCTTCTTTTTCTATCTGAATTAAGGCCAAGAAGGCAGCTGATGAACTGCTGAGACAGCTTAAAAGATAAAAGAAAATTATGCTAATAATGTCAGTGATAAGCATTACAGAATCCAATGAACACCACATGTGGTGGACATCAGCTAAAATACAAATATTGACTGTCATAAATCGATCATTTTAAAGCGTTATCAAAATACACAAGTGCTTAGTAAATATTCGGTGTTGTTATTTCTATGTATATATATATATTTTACAAATAGATTATTAACACATTACTATTTTTGTTCTTTTCTTTCGAAAAGTTACCTCTAATAGTGTAGGGTATGCTATTGACAACGATTTATAAGTAGTACACTGTATCTGTGTGATATCTTCTGCAAGATTAATTGAATAGCAGTGGGGCACATTAGGTTGAGAATCTGGGATTGACTTGCTACCAGGGAATAATCTCGTTGACGTAGAATATGCAGACGATATAGTCCTTCTAGGCGAGGACGCTGACAAAATACAGAGTCTTCTGAACACCTTGAGCTGCAATCTGCGAGTGTTTGGCAAACGATTCTCTCTCGCCAAATGTAAAATGATGTTACAGAACTGAACTACACTGATTCCTAGTTAAGAAATACGGAGTTAAGTGGTAGAGTGTGTTGACCACTTCACTTATTTGGGAAGTACCATCAGCCAACGCCAACGGGTTGATTTCTGACAAAATCTCAGAACGGATACAGAAGGCTAGTTTTGCAAATGCCAGTTTACGCTGTCTCTGGTGTACACGTGATATCTGATTGGCTATCGACCAGAGGGCATGTGTACTGCTCATCAGTCCGCTCCGTCCTCCTTTTGTGGCTAGCTGTGAGACCTGGCCATTGAGAGTCGAAGACATGAAAAAGATTTGCTGTCTTCGATCATAGGTGCCTGCGTTCTATCTCCCTCCCGTGGGAAGTGGTATAATAAGGTGAGAAATATTGAGGTTAGGCTTCGGTCGAGTGCTATGTAGGTGGGAGGGGAAATCAATCGACGAGGCTGTGAAATCACATAGACTGAGATGGTTAGGACATGTACTATGTAAGCCTAGTCATCGCCTTCCTCGTCCAACAGGTAATGTTAGCTGACATAGGGTCAAGCTGAAAAAGAGCTAGCGGCAGTCAAACCAAAACACGGCACCAGTCAATGAAATCCAAAACAGTTAGTTTAAGCCAGCCACGTAGGAAGGTGTAGACTTCCTGACTGGTTGGGATCCTCGGGACAGTAAACACCAATGGTTGGGAACAATTGGTGATATGGCTCAAAATCGTTCTCCGTTGATTTGTCTGCGAATCATATCCGCCCACGCTAAGTCTGGCGTGATTGGTTGTTGAGTTTCTCAAGGTTAGGCGTTGTTCTTGTTTTTTCTCATGACCCCGATTTGGGACGTAAACGCTGATTGACGAAAAATTGTTGTCTACAGTTTTGTCTTGCAGGCAACTGTCACCACATTAATACAATGTCTGATTTCAGAATAATTAATTAGCAATAGAAGTTGTACGCTCACAGTCACAATAGCATATCAGCACAGATAACTTAGATACAAATAGTAAAGTCCAATGTTGGAGCATTCGCCAGCCACGCACCTAATCCGGATTAGATCCCCCTAATACTAGTCTATCCGATAGTAAGACCGATAAACAGGAAAGGTCAGCCATTAGGCTAACAACTCCACTCCGTAAAAACGACACCGCAACTGAAACTCCAGAGCCTGGAGCTGGGAGATCTGTGACTGTCATAAGAAAAAGAAGGTAAACAGCGGAGAATGTTATCTCTTCAATGATTCATTTTCAAAGGCTGTACAGTCATACTTATGATTAACAAAGAATCCATAAGAACAGTCAGATAGTAGCAAAGTTGTTTTAGAAAATATAATACATAGTGTAAGGTATAATCTAAAAGAGGATCACTAATTGCGAATTAAAAAGAGGCGGTAGAAGTTGAGGTGATGTAATGAGTGGGAAAAATGACTAATCAGTGCATAACTGTATAAAGTGGACAAAAACTAGTGGAAAGAAAATAAAGTGTTTTTATAAAATCTATGTGAAAATGCAATCTTAATTATTAAACAATAATAGAGTGATAATAAAACAAGGATGGCGAAAACTTGATATGATTATGAGCAATAGTTTGTGCTCGAAACGTCATCAGTTAATATAACTATACAACACTGTGTGATTTATCAAAATAAAATCTTATCCATAATGGAGTTATACTCTACCACGACAGTGCCCAAGTTTTATACTTATATCAACTTTGTGTAACGCTGTGAAGTATTCATGTGGAGGTGCTCGATGTCCAGAGTTGACAAGGTGTTCAAGGACAGAGTTGTTGGTATTCTTGTTTTCTCCTCAGGCTAGCCATACTGGATATTGTTCCAGAGTATGTTTTCAGACTTGACGTTGTGTACAGCTGTCTTCCGAACAGATTTTTCGAATCCTTGAGCATAAGGTATGTACCAAGTTTTGCTTTCGGACCAGTGGGACAAAGCTGTGGAAGTTAATAAATAATAATAATAAAATATCTCTGTCTATGCATAAAGTCAGTTTATCGGATGATAGTCAATGAATAAATAAATAATAATATATTCTCATTTTGTACATGAGGGACGCCAGTTTACAGGTATCATCAATATGATAAATTACATATAAGATTAGCAATCATACTTAATAAGAATGTTTTAATAAAATACATATTTTTTCCTACCTATGTAGAACACACCAAATGTACAGGCATGGATAAACATTATTTAGATTTCATGAATTTGGTTTATGGTGAAATTACATGGTTGCTGACGTTTTTGTCTTTGGTTTGTGGGAACATTGGGATAAATAGTCATTCAATGGAGCACATCATGAAATATAGGAATATTGACTTCGAATTAACAAAAATCGACCCAAGTATGTTTTAGATGGATTAAAAATACTTGGGAAAAAAATAAAGCTTGAAGTCATTCTCCCATATAACTTAGGTGTGTACGGCATCGAGTCTTATTCTTGATTTATATCCAAATTTGATAATAATTAAAATAAGTGATACACTTGTATAGTTTTGTCAGCATTTTCATCGTAACATCACGAGTGAATTGTACCCAATGTAGAATAATAATAATGATAGTATACATTTTCTTATAAACGGGTGTCTACAAGAAATGCAAGCTATTTTTACGGACACGATCAATTATGTTATAAATTACAATCGTGAAGTTTTATAAATTAATACTTTTTCATTGATATAAAGGTATATTCCACAACTTTAATCCAGGACGCATCGAGGAGGAAGGTAATGGGTAATTTATGAGGCAGTTGTAAGATATGGGACCAATAGTGTTTGCAGATCATTTGTCATTTTAAGGGTTTGAAAGTGTACATTCTTTATTCTCATTCAAAAATTCATGTAGAAGCTAAAATGGTGAGAGTAAAAAAAAGACAAACGACAGTAACACAAAAGAAGCAAGTGGAGTCGTCAAGGTGTGATTAAGAAATATATATATATATATATTCTGTGTAGTAACTATGATTATTTTGGTACACTAACTAACTAGTCCCGTTATGCTAACTTTTATATTATGTGTGAACTAATATTATTGTCCTCTGTAGAAATGTTTATCTTGTACGTCCAATAATGTTAAAATTTATAATTGTAGTTTGTTGTAACTTACACGTTTAATGAACTTAAAATATTTATGAAGGGTGAAAAAGAGGGTGTGAGAGTCAAACGTAGAAGTGCATTGTCATCTTTGAGCAGTCTGGTGACTGAGGAGATGAACACTGGAAGTGTGTTTGCATCGCGCACATCAGCTGGTAGTCTATTCCAAATGACTGAAAACTTATTTAAGAAGAAGTTGTACCGCACGTAAGTCTGACAATGCTCTATAGCAGCTAGGTTGTGATGATTTCTAAGATTGTAACTGATGACAGCGGTAGGTTTAGTTATTGGCTCGGAGGAGTGCAAGAGAAGATTAGTTAGCTTGTAGTAAAAAAAATAAGTTTTAGCTTAAGACGTCTTTTCCAGAGTGGTTCTATTATTGGTCTGTCTCAACGCTCATAGTATTGGAGACCACTTTCTAAACCAAGAGTTCTTGAGGTAAATCGCCGTTGCACTCCCTCTAATTTAAGCTTATCATTCTGTCGCAGTCCGCTAAGAATAAACAGGCAGTATTCTAAAATAGGTGAGACACATACTTTGTATAATAAAACCCTAGTTTCACAACAAAAGAAACTGCGAGTTATTCATCCTGGGCGCCTTCGTGCTTTACTTCTGGCATAATCAGTTTCTTCAGAGAACGTTAAGTTACTAGATTATTTGATACCGAGATCTACGATTGAGTTGAGCTTGACTATTTTTCGCGAGTTAGATCAAGGTTACTGTTTCCGATACAAATCCAGCTTCATTTGTCGATGTTAAACTTTAGACAGGAGTCAGCACACCATGTTGCGAGACCACTTAGTTCAAGATGTATTTGATTTACCATATCGCTTAATTCATGAGTTTAGCAGGAGTAAACGACTTAGAGGTCGTCAGCATATAGGAATGGTTTACCTGAGGTGAAGCACTTGCAAATGCTGTTAATGTAGACTGTAAATAAAAGTGGACCTAGGACACTACCTTGCACAAACCCACTTAATATCTGCCTAGAATGAGAAAATACAGATCCGACTTTGGTTATTTGTACCCTGTTGCTTAGAAACGATTTTAACCAGTTCAGTAGTGGATTGCAAATTCAAAATTGGTACAGCTGATCAAAGAGAATACTGTGAGATACCATGTCGAATGCCCTGGATATATCGAAGTAGAGAACAACGACTAGCTTACGTGCTTCGCGACTACTAGTGATGCAGTTGAAAAAGTCGAAGTGGCAAGTAACGCAGGACCTATTTTTGAGAAATCCATGTTGAGACCTTGCAACAAGATCTTCCCTAAGTAGTTGGCTAACTGGTAAAAGACACGGAAAAGGTGATAAACATACTGGGTATAAATGATCACTACCTTAGGTCTGACACATATATATCTTTGATGAGACCTACGGTAATATTTCAGATT